ATTATAATAATTTGCTGGATTATTAATGTTTGAAATATATATAAAATGTCAGCCAATGGGGTTGACAGATTATGACCACGTGAATCGATATAATAATAATAATAATAATAATAATAATAACGATTGCTTATTATTTCCAGGCCAAAAAATATGATCAAAATGCGGGTTTACATGATTTAATGAAACCTAGGCAAACTATATTTTAATCTTTTTTTTAAATACATTATTTGAAATGTCAAGCAGGTGTTTTGACTTTTTTAAGTTGATAAAAATATAAATTGCCGAGTTTATAATATTTTACAAAAAGTTATGTCAAATAAATAACGGTCGTATAATCATTTTTTTTTTTAATGCACATGTAATGTAGTGGTAAAGGCTTAATCTAGTTTATCAGTGACAGTTTATAGTACTAGTGTTACAAAAGGGGAGGAAAAAAAAATGTATATATATGTAATAATAGAATAATTTAATATAGGAGCTATGTCCATATGGATTGATTGTATTCTGTGTATAAAGCATTCGTATGTAGTATCGCAGCTTTATTTTAAATAAAGTATTTCTCTCTATTATGTAGTATAGAACTTGAAAGAACCTACCCAATTTGGTAATATATTTTTCTTATTTATTTATTTTTTTCCCATTAAATTTGCCAATGCGTTATAACGTATCAATCAATTGTGTTGAAGTTTATTCTGTCTTCTTCAATTCTTGATATTTTTAACTTTTCAGTAGATGATCTCTAGGCCACTGCCTTTTTAGTCGTCTTTGAGGCTCACCAGGTAATAGGGAGGAAGATAGAGATAGAACGAGTGGATTTGGATGGTACAGAGTAGAAGAATGAAATTTTGTGTACTTGTTGTGTATGTAGGATTTTACTTTTGATATGTTCATGTCTGTGTATAAGGACCATTGACGATTTTACGAGGTATTTTGGATTGTGTGGTTTGAATTTTGTTTATATGCATGTGTTTTATTTTAGAAACAAAATAAAATACATATTTTTGTATTTTAAAATATATGATTTAATCTATTGATTGTCATTAACATGAAAAACTCGCATTCATATTTGGAGAGAGAAAAAAATATATATAATTTGAAATATTGCCAAGGTCAACATTGAAGCGGAATATAGATTCTCGAAATTATGAATTAGAAATGGAGAAATGTTCATGATAAAGAAATAATAATTTACCTTCGGTTCGTTAAAAAATTAGTTGATTTTAGGTAGTCAAAATTTAATTACATAAACATTGTTGCATGTAACATTTAAATTTTATATTAAGCTTTATATATATTTTATATTTGTCCCAGGTTTTTTATCTTTTTAGGTCAGATACATATTTTATAATTACATAATTATTAGATATAGTTATTGTTATTTTTTTTTAAATGAAAATTATTGTAACTGCTAATTTCATAACCATCGTCAACTACATCATACCTAATAATTATTTGTATATCAATCTAAGAAATCTCTACTTCGGGAGAAATCTTAAATCATTTCTGGAAATTATGGAAGATGGCAGTAAGATTAAAATATACTATTAACCATCATTTATTATTTTTTATACATAATATCTTTACCAGTTATAAAAAAATAAAATAAAAAAAGCAATGACTGATTCCGTCATCTCTTCTGGTTTCTAGCTAATTTTAGTGTTGTTGAAATGAATATTAGTGTGCAGAGATACTTCACCTCAATTAAGAAGGTCAAAACCATGGTCAAATAAATTTATTTTACCTAACCACCCCTAACCACATTTTTCACCACATATAAAATAAAACCTTATACAATTTCACAACCTTGCAATTCATGCATTAGCATCAATTTCGCTCACTGGACTATTTTTTTTTTCTTAATTCTACATTAAGTATTAGAGTCTGACGGTACAAAATATATACGGAAAGGCTATTCTCTTGATATCCTCCCGAAATAGCAATTAAGAACAAAAGATAAACATAGCAGTTTAAAACGTACATACTTATATTAATATTCCTGAATATATCAATTGAAGAATTTATTCATTTTTTAAGAAATACATATATTGGTCCCTGTATTTAAGATTGTAATTATTTCGAGATATGAATTAGTTATATGATACGTATATTATATGTATGTACGTATACATATTTATGATTGAGTTATTAAAATTTCGGACTTTATTAAATTTCCCTATCTAAAACTACTTCTGTATCTTTTTTAATATAATACAAGTGACTATACATAGTTTGTTATGCGTTATGCGGCATGGTGTACTTTTTGTGCCTGCCTGAGTCTCATTGTTTCATTTATATATATATATATATATATATATATATATATATTAACAACATGAAATGATTTGTCTCTCGATTAAAAAACTATCGTATTAAATGGACATATTACTGAAACATTAAAAGAAAATTCAGTCAAGTTTCGTTATTCATCAATGACTTCTTCTAAGTTGAAGTTAAGTTAATTGTGTACTAACTTTATAATAACAATACATGTTTTAAAATTCAGTTCTATATCTTTAAGTAGTATTTTTATTCTAATTAAAACCGGCAATGCTAATCCTAAACCTAATAGCAAAATCTAGAAATATATATTTCATCATTATCTCTATGGTTATGTAAATTAGAACGAGAGATGAGAAGTTCGTGATGTCTTTATAATGCAAGGAGTTGTATAATAATGGGGGGAGGGTATCTCTTGCATTCCACGAACGCCGACAAAGAGGATCTCAAGGTGGAAATACCACAGATTAGCTATTAACACCACTTTAAAATCAAATGTATAATAATATCCAGGAATAAAAATTAATTATTATTCCGCAAAGCCACGCTAGAAAGCATCTATGATTACTGTTTTCTTTTTAATGTTCGTTTTATTTTATTTAAGTTTATATATTGTTTAATTAAAATAAAATAATTGTTTTCAGGTAAGCGCAGGCGTTATTCATTAGCCGATTAGTTGTGGTGAGTTTTTAATTTTTTTCATATCGATTACTACAATATTAATTTTGTAATATTTATTTTTAAGAGTTATTTGGTCCGCTGTTATTTATTTATTTTTTTACAGCTCTAAAATATATTAAACCATAAATTATCTATCTCTTTTCAAATATATTTTATTTAGTGAATGTAGTGAAGTTTTTTACACAAATACATTTAGTTTAAAAATTCATGCAAAACTCTAAATGACATAAACTTATTTATGTCATGCCTTATTTTAAGTTAATATTTTAAAGATTAGAAATAACTTAACTCTTGAATATCAGAACTAAATATAGAAAAAAAAAATCCAAAATGGTTATTAAAACCATACTTAGACATAAGTTAAATGATCGACTAAATACGCCTGGAACTGAGGGAAAAAAATAAAAACATGCTCTTATTTTTACGCCATGGCTAATTTAAAAAAAAATTCCTTATCAATTAGATTGGATATTTATTACATCACATGTATTCATATTATTTTGAAAAATTACATCATGATATTATATATATACAAAAATAAGTTGTGTTATATTAGTAATAACCATGTAATTATGACATTTTTAAATATTGTAATTAGAAAACGGGAAAACTATTTTGATAGCTTACTAGGACCATTGCGCCCAGTAAAGGCTTTTTCTTTCGAATATGGCTCTGCCTCGAGTCAAATCTATTATTGACAGAAATTTAATAACTTCTTGCTATAATTTACGCCCTGGGTTATTGGTATTTTCTTTAGCTATTAAAGGCGGAATCTGAAGTTAATTTTAGAATAGTTTAGAATTACAGCTTGCTCTATAACTGCGAACAAAAAAGAAAAAAATCATTTACTCATTCGGGAAGTCAAACGCTCCGTTAAAAATACAATGTCAAGTTACATTATAAACTGCTATTAGCATGAAAAGCGGTACTCACATGCAATATAAATATGGAATTATTCTCCATTCACTTTTAAAATAATATCATTTTTAAATATGTAAAATTATTCATGAATTAATAAACCTAAAAAATTACCATAAAATAACTATGAATAATGAGTTTTGAGGATCTCATGTGATTTTTCTCCCTGAATATTATTTTCAAATAAAAAGTATTTTACAGTTTACACGTTATAAACTAGAAATTAATGTAATTGTTTGGGTAATTTCAAAAACTAAAACTTGTCTTTTCATTCAATTTAAACAATGGGGTTGTTTTGTAACAGAATATAAATATGTAAAATAAAATGAAATAAACAAAAATATTACTGTCTGGGACGAATTCTCCTAAATGTTATTATAATTGTCTGGTTTAAGCTATCCTACATCCAGATCCATCCGAACCCGTTTGTTGCCACCCCTTCTTCCTCCTGGATTCCTGATAATTCTCCTATGCATGCTTCTGATAAGGAGATGACCTCGGGATCTTTTTACTTACATTAGAACTATTTAGGGGGTGCTTCCATTGGGTTGTATTTTGAAAAGTCTGTTTATGTCATTATTCTTGATTTGTTCACATATATTAGTTGTATTTATTTAGTAAAGTTGTATCTTTAGAAAAAACAAAACATAGTTTCCAACTTAATACAATATGAAACAATCTCTAAAAGAAGGATTTATGTAAACAACTATTTTTCATAAGATGTGAACTCTGCAGCGTCGTTGTTAATTCTTGACGAACTTTTTTCAATGACTTTTTAAACTTGTAGTACAAATTTATAGAGTGATATTGATATTCACCACTTCTTCACGAAAGCCTCTTTTTATTTGATACCCTGCTAAAGCTTTCGCTTCTGAGTGCCGGAAAAGGCGGTTTTAGGAATAGGTTTAAAAAATTACAGAACCACTCCTAAGGTTAAATTATGATATAAAATGTGAGAAAAGTAATTAAATTATTTTATATTCATGCTAAGCGTACTTCTTACTTTCTTACATTTGTTAAATTTAAAATATATCAGGTTTAGGATACACAAGATGCAAACAAAATGTAAGCTATAACTGATTTTTATTGGTTTGGTCATAAATAAGTGTCATAATCTTTGGCCATCAACATATAAAGGCCTCTGCGCATGCCCTCCCACCTCCAGCTCCACCTGCACTTCTGCTCCCGCCATAATCGAGCCCTGCCGATCCATCTCTGCGCTGCTGAGCTCCGAATCGAAAACCAACCGATTCTCCAAACTGTTTTGCTCTCTCATCGACACTTCTTGCAGTAACCGGACTTTCGGACTGCCTCGGTCTGTCACCGCCTCTTACTGAATCAACCGGCCCTCCATACTTTCCTGATCTCTCTTCGCTCTTTCTTATAACTATTGGGTATCCGTTCTGCCCTGATCTTTCATCACCCCTTCCAAAACCAACTGGTCCTCCGAACCGTCTTGCTCTCTCATCGACACTTCTTGTACTAATCGGACTTTCGCACTGCCTCAGTCTGTCACCGCCTCTTATTGAATCAACCGGCCCTCCATACTTTCCTGATCTCTCTTCGCTCTTTCTTATAACTATTGGATATCCGTTCTGCCCTGATCTTTCATCGGCCCATCCAAAACCAACCGGTCCTCCAAACCGTCTTGCTCTCTCATCGACACTTCTTGTTCTAACCTCACTTTCGGACTGCCCTGGTCTGTCACCACTCCTTACTGCATCAATCGGCCCTCCAAACTTCCCTGATCTCTCTTCACTCCTTCCTGTAGCATCTGAGAATCCTTTCTGCACTGATATTTCACCACCTTTTTCAATACCGACAAGGCCTCTGAGCTGTCCTGACTCCGTACCAACTGGACACCCGTATTGCCCTTGTATGTCACTACCTTTTTGTTTACTGACTGCGCATCCGTACTGCTCTTGTCTGTCATTTTCCTTTAGCGTACTGACTGGGCATCCGTGTAGCTCTGATTTGTGACTGCTCTTTTCTCTTCCTTTACCAACCGGTCCTCCATAGTGTTCTGCTCCTTTATCAATATTTTCTTTGCCATCTCCTATCTGCTCTATTCCTTCATCAGCCGTTCCAGAGCCAACCGGGTTTCGGTGGTGTCCTGACCCGTCACTATCTCTTCCTGTCCACATTGCTCCTCTGGGATAAACCGCTTTATTTTCAGAAGCATATACAGTAAATATTAGAACCATTGATATCAATACCTGCAATCAATTTAGTATTATTTGTCAGTTTATTGTTATATATTAAATAAAAATTATATAACATGGTAATTGTATGGATTTTTGTGTTGTGTTCTTTCGTATGGTTGAATTTTACTTATAAGAATGCAAAAGTTCATAATTTTTATCCGCCCTAATTGAAAATTTGGTTGTGTTATAGAAAATTGTAGAGAATGGGGTCTAAGTTGTTAATACCTGCTACTGTACAGAATTCGAGAACCTACTAGCTCAATCCTTTTGTTGTTTGCTTAATAAAAGTTCCCTGCTTAAAAAATTCTATTCAGAGGATATCATTAGTTTAAAAAAAAATTAAATTAGGTGGTAGCGGAATAAATAATCCCCAAGGAAGTGTCCTCTATTATTTTATGATCTCCAAAAGTTGCTCTTATGTATATCCTTTTTCAAAAAATGCTGATCCACATACTTGAATAGAATTTCAGATATTTAAGATTTCTGTATTAGTGAAGTGCTCAACCAGCTTCACATTTATATCGAAAAATTCTATTGTCTTAACAATTAACTGTAGACTCCCCTGTTATGTTTTTAATCAGATATTGAACACTGACCTCGACATTCCTTGTATCATATCTACTGTCCCATATCGTTTCAATTATTTTCATAATAGACTAGCTCTAAATTCAAAACAAACTGATATGAATTGCGAAGAAGAATGTTGAGGCACTGGCCAAGAGACTTGCTGCATTGAGCAAGTTGCTGTCGTTGATCTTTTAGATTTGTACCATTATTTATTTTTTCAGATAAAATTTTGTATGGTATGTTTTTCCTGGTTTTATGTTGCTCTTTTTTTTTTCTATTTGATAGCATATGGAATGCAAAGTTATTTTGACAAAAACATGAACATCTAAAAAAGTTAAATAAATTAGTTTATAAAATTTTCTTTTTTATGTGTAGAGAAATCTAAAACCATCAAACATGTCGGTTTATGGTTAAAAGTTAAAAGTATTTCGTAAAATTATAACACGAAGTATTTTTTTTTTAATTTATTTATAAGTTACAAATATTTCTGACGTAAAATAAATTTACCTACTAAGTAAGTAATCTACTACTAAGTATTAAGCAAATATGATTTCAAAAAGTTGCTGTCACATCACAGCCATATACCTACCTTAAATGTAGTATGAGTTAAAAACATATATGGAATAAGAAAATGAGGAGTGTTCAGTATCACGAGTCGGTTCTTTCACCTACTGCTGGTGAGGGAAGGGAAGCTCTATCGATTTCTTTTCTATTTCGATTCAAGTAGTTTTGTAGTTAATCTCAAGAAACGGAGTGAAGTAATTTAAGCCAATGCAACTCATGAAGATTCTTGGGTTCAGTTATTGTTATGAAAATACTATTTCTTGATTCAAGATTTTACAAGAAACTCCGAAAATTCCTACCATCTACCTACTTCCTCATTATCCGCTCCTACCTTACTGATAGATACTTTAAAGTAAATCACAATGTATATACATCCCGTTTTTTCCCGTCTGCAGGTGTTCCTCAAGGTACTATCCTAGGTCCTATCCTTTACACAGTTTATACAGCTGACATCCCAACCCATTCCAACACTGTCATCACCACGTATGCTGATGACACATGTATCCTATCAGTCAATAACGACCCATCTATTGCATCCCAAACCCTTCAATCCCACATCACAAACCTTGAAGAATGGTGTCAGAACTGGAGAATTAAAATAAATTCCAATAAATCCCATCAAATTACCTTCACCCTTCGTCGTTAACCAATGACTTCCTGTCCTTCAGTATCCTTTAACAACACCTCACTTATTCCTGTTGAACAAATCCGTTACCTAGGACTCCATCTGGACAAACGTCTAACTTGGAATCCTCATACCAGACTGAAACGACAAGAAACCGCTCGACGTTTCCGACTACTTCAACACTTACTAGACAAACGCTCTAACCTTCCAATCAATTATAAAAGACTGATTTACATGACTATGATAAGGCCTGTTTGGACTTACGGGGTTGAGCTATGGGGCTCCACCAAGCCTTCCAATTCCTCTCGCATACAGTCCTTGCAATCCAAAATCCTTCGTAAAATCCTCAATGCTCCTTACTTTGTTACAAATAAAATTATCCATAATGACCTTAATGTTCCTTATGTATCAGATTTGGCCCAATCCAGATATCTGTCCTTCCATAATAAACTTCATAACCATCCCAACCCTCTTGTCTCTAACCTTGCTTCCTATTCGATTCCTGATAACCCTCCGAGGCGTCTGAAAAGAAGATGGCCACCTGATCTTCTAATATAGACATATTATTAGAGTGCTACCAAAGGGTAGTTTCTTAACATGTGTTCCATGTCTTTATACCAATGTGCAAATTTACTAGATGTATTTTTTTGTATACAGTTGTAAATATCATTTAAAATAAATAAAAAAAAAAAAAAAAAAAATGATTTTACAAGGGAAATTATTCCAGCTGGAGTCAGCATTCATCTGATATATCACTAAAGTCAATGGAAGGCTTAACTGACTTAATGATAGAGGCTAAGCGAGTTCCATGAGGTTCTTCTGATCCTTGAGTTGATCAATAGTTGTTAAAACATAAATCCCAACAAATCACCCTCAACCTTCGTCGTAAACCAATGACTTGCTGTCCTATAGTATCCTTTAATAACACCCCACTTATTCCTGTAGAGCAAATCCGATACCTAGGACTCCAGCTGGAGAAACGTCTTTCTTGGAATCATCATACAAGACTGAAAAGACAAGAAACTGCTCGACGTTTCCGCTTATTCCAACACTTACTGGACAAACGCTCTAAACTTACAATTAATTACAAACGACTCATATACATGACTATAATAAGACCTATTCGGACTTATGGAGTTCAGCTATGGGGCTCCACTAAACCATCAAATTCCTCTCGTATCCAATCTTCACAATCCAAAACCCTTCGTAAAATCCTCAATGCTCCTTACTTTGACACAATAATCCATAAAGACCTCAATACTCTATATGTTTCCGATTTGGCCAAATCCAGATCTACTACCTATCCCGTTATAATAAACTTCATAAACATCCGAACCTTGTTTCCTCTTCGATTCTTGATAACCCTCCGAGGCGTCTGAAAAGAAGATTACCTCGTGATCTCCTCATGTAGACAAATTCTTAGAGTGCTTCAATGGGTAGTTTCTCAACAAGCATGTTTCATGTGATTATGTTCCGCTGTACACATTTACTAGATGTATTCATACTAATACAGTTGTAAATATCATAATAAAAGTTTAAAAAAAAAAAAGATGAAATGGACTAAGGCTTGTTGAACCGACACATTTAAAAACATCACAGACACAGAAACTAAACATACGGATTTAAGAATATCAAGTTGTTTTATGTTTTAGGTATATAAATTATTGAGAAAAAAAAAGTACAACGCGAAATCGTTACAAGATATACTTACAAGAGACTTCATGTTTACAGATAGAGCACGGAACTGGAACTAATATATATTGTAATAATTTTAATAAAAAAGTTCATTTATCACGTACTATTGCTTCCCAACTGCCGGAGGTAGAGAAGCAGTGTATTTGTGCGAAAAAGCAATCGTTTTTTGTTTTTTTTTTTACCTCTATATCCAGATTCGTTTTACGTTTTAGACATCAAAAAATAAAGTTAGTTAGGTAAATGTCTGTGTGCGGACAAATCCATGTAGTAGGAACTTCGCCTACTACCGATTATCATGAAAAATGCAGAGATTGTGCATGATTGTATATAGATGGTCTCAAACCATTTTCATCAAATTCTATCCTCTACGTTCGATTCCATACGATTAAATGTATTCGAGATGTTTAGAGCTGTAAGCGTGTGTAGCGCTATATTTAATAATAAGTGTGTGTAGAGCTACATAAGCGTGTGTAGAGCTATTTTTCAAAAACAGTCCGTTTGATGTATAAAACTCAGCTTTGCCATTAGAAAAAAAAATTAGGACTGGGCATAAATAACGAGCTACCAAAAAATTAAAAATTTAGTTGGGCCTGAAAATGTCTTCATTATATTAAAACCTGTAAAACGGACTAAACGTAACAATCATCAATAGTCGTAAAATCAGGTTCCAAACTTGGCATATGAGCTATTAGCAGTTGGTAGGCTAAAACGGGATAAGTGCCACTATGATTTTACAGTATATCATGAATGCTAATCAACTCTTCTAAATAAATTAGCCTTCAGTATATTGTTATAAAATATCCACTTCAATGGAATAATTATTAAGATTTTTTTTTTTTTTAACTTTTCTTCTATTTTCTACATGCGTTTTTTTCTGTAGAACTGGAGTGCTCCATTTTATAATTGGTTAATAAGAGCTAATGGAGGTGTATGCATTTTTTTTATTTTACCAATTTAAGGTATATGAATAAAGTTAAGTAACAGTTCAATACTTTTTTCTTTATTTTTAAGACGTTTCGGAATCACATTTATTATCCCATATTCAGACTTGAAACAAGAAACATTTGTTTTTTTATTTTTTTATTTTACAGTACATGTATTTTTATAGAATTCCTTTTCTTCTGTTTTCTTCATGGATTTTTTTTCTGTAGAACTGGAGATCTTCACTGTGCTTCAGTTTATAATTTTTTCATAACTTCTAAATATATTAGGACATTTTATCAAACTCACAGAGAATATATGATGCTTTCTTCTTTTGTTAAAGCACTTAATGTAGTGACTATGTTGAAAATGATTGTTCGTCTTTTTCAGAAAATTCAATTTTTGTTTGGTTTTAATTTAGCTAAAATTATAAGCTTCGGTGCTTTTTGGTTTCGCATAAACAAAGAAAACTTCTGTAAACATTTTCTTTTTTAGAATTAATACATAGCTCATTTTTACTGGCGACTGCATGTCATATAGCACAGTCTACTTTTTGCCTCATAAAATA